CTTTACTATAGATTCTACCAACTAGCCAAGGATAAAATAAAGACTTACTGGTCTGTAGCTCTGAGGATCACCTCTGGACAGGGCCGTCCCTGCGGGGGGGCGGGGGGGTGACAAATCAAGGCAACTGCCCTGGGCCCTGCGGTCAGTGCCACATAGGCCCCACCACAGCCGACACATGCCACTGCTGAGCGCTGCCGGCTCCAGCCACTTGCCGCCCCTCCCCCCGCTCGCCCTCCCACCCCTGCTCCACTGGCTCCGGCCACTTGCCCCCTGCACAGGCCAATATGCCCCAGGCCCCTGCACACCCCTAGGGACGTTCTGCCTCTGGAGCCCTTTTTGAAGATAGGTATTATGTTGGCAATCTGCCAGTCCTTTGGCACAGAGGCAATTGGTAACGACAGGTTACATACCATTGTCAACATTCTGCAATTTCACTTTTGAGGTCCTTCAGACCTCTCAGGTAGATGCCATCTGGTTCTGGGGACTTATTTGGAAACTTATATGAGGACTTATTGGGAAAAGACATGTCATAGCTGTATCCTTAGGTTTCTGTCAGTCCAAACTGTTATTCAGTTACTCTCTCAATAACACTCAAGTTGATCACTTGTAGTTTATGCTTATAATTTCATATACAAATGATGACCTATTTGTGCAGTGAATTAAACAGCCTCAGTTAACAGATCATTCTAAGATGTTTAAAGAGTTATATAATGGAAAACGCAAATCTTCAAAGTAACATTAGAATGTAAAACAAGATTCTAAAAAACTAGACACTTGTATGACAACAGAAATCTTATTGATTTATTCAGTTATATTTAAATGATATACCAAACCTCAAATTTCAGTGTTCATGCTGATTTTCCCTTAATATTAAAAGATCATAAGGAATCAAAAAATTGTGCCTTCTAACATCTGTGAAAGACCATATGGAATCTACAACAAAGCCTCACTTTGACACAGAAAAGATACCTTCAACAGTTATCAGAGGAAAGCAGAATGGAAAACCTAGAGAGGTGACCATGCTCACCAGGTTTTGATGGGATCCTTTCCACCAATGCCCCTGATATTCAGATGCAGAAAACATTTCCACTTTTAAAAGTTCTACTGTCAAAACTGAAGAGGATTTATTTAAAATCATCATACTGATGCCCCCCACTTGGTTTCTTTGCTACCAAGAAACACACAAACCTAAGGTAAAGAACTGGAAAATAATTTGCACGAAAACGCATTTGATCAGGACATTTAAGACTACTGAATGTTACTACTCAAATCCAAGATGGAAAAAAATCAGCATGGAAAAAATTAAGCCTAGTCTTGGATTTGAGTACTGTCCTGGGGCAGGCACCGACTCAGCTTGGCTTTGGTCCCAGGCTGGAATTACTTGTTTGGCAGGGAAAGGGACACGTGGTCAGGAGGAGCATGGGGAAGACTGTGGAGTGGGACAAGCCCTTTTGCAGCCTGTCCCCCAATCCCCAGCCTGCGGTGTCTGTGAATGCCTCCCCTTCCCCCTTATATTCTGCTCCCACTCCAGGTCCTGCAGCCATGACCCACCCCAGCCTAGAGCTGCTGCTTCTCCCTGGCCAATTTTCCTTTTATCTTTCTGGATCTGTGAGATCTGGTTTCTGAAGTATACCCATGTGTCAGGAAATAAAATTGTGTTTTATCACTAAGCACAAGAACAATCAATGAGAACAAAAATGAAAATCTATGCTACTACATAAACATTTAGGAGAGGGTATAAAGGCAATGAGTTAGATTTAAATGTATTAATTACACATCAATTTCCATCCTAAATAGATTAATTGGGCTACCTCATTCCACTGAAAACTTCTCACTGGCTTTGTTTTTACAACCAACGATTTCAATGCGAACATGATTAGGGTTTAAGAGTAACATGTAGTTTAAATAATTTATAAGCCAAATTATTATAAATCATATTAAGGCTTTGTGCGGTAATAGTGTAAGCAGAACTTGTAAAACAAATTTTAAAAAAATGTTAGCAGGTTTTTAAATCAACCAGTTCTGAATGTTTCTAGATACTGTATGCTGTCTCAGGGATATTTATGAATATCTACAAATGGGGGAAAATGTTCTTTCATTTATTCTACTTCATACTGCCAAAAGTGATCCATCTTGCCATTAAAACTATTATCTACATGAAAAAGTAACTACCACATTACTAGAAAATATGTCCAGTTTGGGATAATGACTAGATTTCAGAGAGTGGCAACAAAACATAATGTAACAGTTATTCATCATGAGCAAGCGCTTCTGTTGCCTTTTTATGAAAAGTGCCAACTAAAACAGCTAGCCTTTGCTGGAGTAGTCAAGTGGGCATACAGTTCACTTAAAATTAAAACCAAGAGAATCCTATCTACTAAGAGACATTTTGAGCTCTGACCTACATGCATGTCCTTTATGCAGTATGAACAAGTAAAACAGATAGCTACTGACTGTAAACTTGGAAATTAAAAGAGTTTCATAGATTTGGTAGTCAAACCTGATAGATGGCAAGTGCCCAACTGGAGAAGGAGGAAAAGGCTCTGTAGTTTGCAGGATGGAATGAACAGCATACAAAATTTGGGATCTTGTTTTACCATATTTACCTGAATCCAAGACTACTTAGAATTTAACGTGACCCTCCATCCATAATTAGATTCTAGATATGGATAAGTATAGATTTATTAACATTTTTCATATCTAGAATCTAATTATTGGAGGGGCATCTTAATTTTGTCCCCTGCACTGCTGTGGCAGGAAAGCACTGGCAAGGGACAAGTGGTAGGGAAAGCAGAGGTAGGGGGTTTAGAAGCGGGGAAAGCAGTGGCAGGGGAGACCTGTAGAGGGAAGGGGTGAAGGGGGGAGTAGCAGTGAGGAAGGCAGCTTGGGGAACAGGCAGCCTGACCCTTACCCCTTAGCCTCCCCCACCACTTATCCCCCACTATTCTGCTGCTGCCCCTGGCTGATCCAGGTACAGGGGGGAGCTCCAGAGCCACCCTTGACTCACTCCTGTCCCATAGTGCAGAAAGCAGCTCTGCAGGTAGCCCAGCTCAGCAACACAAGGGTCCCTTCCTTCCCTGTCCCCACACTTCCCCTCATCTCCCCCACCAGTTAGGAGCAGGCTGAAATGAGGAATCTACGCTCTGCCACAGCTGCTCCTTGCAGCACAGGTCAGGAATGGTTCTGGAGCTCCTTCCATGCCTGCATCAGCTAGGAGTCAGACTGCTCCAGATAGGACCTATCAAGGGCAGCTGTGCAGGGACTTGAGCTGAGCATTGCAGCAACAGTGCATAGAGCCACCTTCTCTGCCTGGTTCCTTGCCAGAGAGGTAAACTGGGGTAAGGAAGGAAGTGGGTGGGGAGGGGCTAGAGAGCCGTGCAGAGAGTATGTGCTGGGAGCAGACACCTGAGCACCAATGATGACGTCCCTGGCCTGGTGAGGCCCTCTGCACAGCCATTTGCCACAGCTCCCAGCTGGAGTGGTCTGATACTCAGTTCTAAAGATGAGGCTTTATTTTCCCTATGATAAACAGGCGAAAATATTAGAATCAAGTAAATATGGTATTTGCCCGTATGCTTTTCTAGCATGGCAGCTAAACTTACAAGTCCTGTATTCTGTATATAAATAATATTTTCATAGCTAAAGAGATGGCATCTTACAACAGTGAATAGATCAGCAGGCAAAGCACCATGCCACCTGAAATCCTGAACAAAAGGACTACAAATCAGGTAAAGCTAAGAGAACCAAGATCTATTTATAGCAGTGTGATCTAAGAAATCACAACTCTTCTCCATTTCTATATGTGCCTTACACCAGTGCTTCAAACTCAGGAGTATGAAGTAAAACTCTAGCATGCTGGGCAGCACCTTCGGCCCAAGCACATGCAGGGCCTGCTGCAGTTGTGGTAATGGCTTTGACTACAGCTGCCCCAGCATAAGCCACCTAATCACAGGCTGCCTGGGGATGCCATTCTGGTGCCCTCTCTGAATCAGTATTCAGAGTACTGCTTCAACTCAACCCCCCAAGTTATACTACTGTTCAAATCTGAATAAAAGGGCACTCAAATACTGATTTTGAAATGCTAAAAAAAATATTCCTTTGCTACCTAAACATAAAAGAGTTTTGCCTTATGTTTCGCCATTTTTCATTTGGTAAGTAAGTTCCGTGGATGAAGCACAAATTTCCCCCTAAAAGTTTGACTCCAGTCCATTTCTCAAATAAATGCTAGATTCTACATCACTAAAAACAGTGGGAGATTACCATGGTCTTAAATGGGTGCAAGTGAATTTCCTTCATTCTAGTTCCAAGATAAAAGCCCTTACACACACACACACACACACACACACACACACACACACACACACACACACACACACAC